AGGCGGCGGCTGCTTTGGCTTTTGATGCGTTCTTAGTGCGACCTTCACTATTCAATCCAGCTAAGAGTTCACTTTTGCGGATGCTCTTCAAGTCCAAATCGCCATAGTAGTCTTCACTGTAATTGTATAATGTGGAGATGGTAGATAAGGTAAAAAGGGTTAGAGGATATCTCGCCAAGAAATCTTAAGCAAATATGTTTTGTGTGGGGAGCTGGTTTTTTACAAGTCTTAAGAGCAGCGGAATGCAAGGGCTTAAAGAAATTTGTGCAGTTTGATAAAGTGCTTTTATAGGGAGAGAGATAGAGAAAGGGTCTGATAAATGAAGCAATTAAATGCATTGCAGTATGAACAGGAACAATCATAAGCGAATGAAAGATTTATTTCAAGCTTTTTTAAACTTAAATACATTATAAAAGCTCAAAGTATTTAGTATTAAAAAAAATAAAAAAAATTAGTCAAAAATATGCCAACACCGCAAATAAAACAACCATACTAACTTATGCTATTTATTTTCGTGGAAGTGCATGCGATTTAAAGTGCTAGCGATTGATTCATAGTGAAAAGTTAAATTCTAATGTTTCTACTCACCATCCGGGAACATCTTCTGGATCTTCGCAGTTGCCTGTACCATCAGAATCGCCAATCTTGAAGACAGTGCCGATCGGGCAACCATATTCACGAGCAACACCTTCCAAGCAAATATAGTATTTGCGGCAATCTTCAGGGTGAGCATGTCTCGAGAATGAACCGGCATTGGCAAGTTCACCGGCGGCGGGACAGCTGAAACCGTTGGCGACTTCTGTAAATACAATTCGAACGGATTAGTGTTTGTGCGAATGATAAGAGATTTTGCGAATTTACTGTACCTTCGTTTTTGCACTCTGGCACTTGATCGGCCCACATGCACACACGAGCATCACGATCGTAGGCAAGACCGGGCGAGCACTGGTATCTGGATGGTTCACCGTTCCAACAGTTCCAGAAGACATCGCATTTATTCTCATCGGGGAAGATACCGTACAGACGAGAGCAGTGGGGTGTGGAAATTGGAGGTTCTGTGAAAGAGAAAGATAAATATTTATTTACGAATTTGTGAAAATGTGAGGAGCTTTTACTAAGTTTTGGTTAGCTTGAAAATTTTTTAATAATTTAAGAAAAAATATGTTTTCGGAACAAAATTAAGAAAAATCATTTACCAGGCATAAAATTTTGGAACCCGACAAATTTGTGGAAAAATTTTTAAAACTCGATATTGTCTGATAAATTTAGACTTCAAATATTCCTAGATATTTCTTCCTCTTGCATAATAATCGTTAAATTAGTTTCAATTATAATTTTAATTTAAAAATACCTCAAAATACTAGGCTGAAACATTATTTCAAAGATAAAATTCTGTGTAATTAAAAAAATTTGTTGGTGCATAAGGACGAAAAATGCCATATTAATTTTCGAAAAAAATATATGTTAAGGACTAATATACACACGATAATATCCCCGAATTTCGACTTCTAGACTTTAATAGCTCAAAAAATAAAATTAATTAAAAACACATTTTCAATAAGGTAGTCCAAAAAAGCATGTGAAAAAGTAAAGTCGGAATTCTTATGCTCTCACCCCCTAGGATTGTTCTGTACTGAAAAAATATACGCTTGTTTTTTATTTTGCAATAGAAAAATATTTACATCTCAATGTATTTTATAATAGTATCCAATTGCTTATTTAACCATTTTTTTCATAGTAACTATATTTTATAGGTCCGCCAAGAACCCTAGAAAGTGCAATAGGGTGACCAAAAAAATCTTTAGTTTTAAAAATTGTTAAATAAACAATTGGGTACTGTTATTTGAAGTCTTCCGAGGAAACCAGAATTCTATAAAATTTCTATGAAAAGTAGTTTTTTTTTCATTTAAAATACATGGAAAATTTGAAAGCCTTGAACGACCTCTTAACATTTTTTTATTTCAAAATAAAAAAACAGGGGTTTATATTTTATTCTATATAGAATAATCGTTGGGGGTGAGAGCATTCATATTCCGACATTACTTTTTTGGGCCACCCGCGTATTCATAATTTTCCTTTCATTGGGCACCCATACTTCTATTTCACATTGCACTGAATTTTTAAAATAATTATATCTAACATATAGTTTTGTATGTAAAAAAATATCCTGACGTCAGAGTGCAAAACTAGAAACTCAAATTTGGTTTCGTGATTGTTTCAATGGGCTTGAAATCTTTCTTTGTTTTTGTCGTACGGTTTTTTTCGGCAGGTTATTATGAATTTTAGGCAAAGAAACACTTCTAGAAATAAACATATTTTTAGTTAATTAATGTTTTTTCTGGATCCAATAAAGTTTCGAACAAAAATCAGCTACAGGAATTTTTTAGAATATTCTTATTCACTCAAACAGAAATAATATTTTACATATACCATCTCACTCACCCAATTGCGTGCGGTCACCACAATCAACATTATGTAGGTAATCACAATTCTCCGTCAGGAATTTCGGGTCTGAAGAATCGAAAGCGAGACCATTACCGCAGGTTTTCAATTCCGCAACATTATTGTCACACTTCCAGTACTTGTCGCATGACAGATCGTGTGGGTAGAAACCGAAATCATCGGGACACTTGAAGCTATCTTGGGCAACGGCTGTAAGAGGGAAAGGCAAATAAAGTTAGTACATTTTAATCAGCATAAAATTAATAGAAATTAAAAAATTAGATCCTATTCGAGCAGAAAAAGCGGAACTGAAGGTCTGATTATGCATATTTCGCATAAATTCGCACAACTTCTTAAACGTAACACAACTTTACAAAACTTAAGGCTGATTATATGCTTCGCATGCAACCAAATTTATCAGTACTAACAACCTTATGCATCGACGCACCAGGGTCATTCACGGTGTACGAACAAAAGCATCTGATTTTTGGGTTTTTAAGGCAAGGGGATTTGTTTACAGAAAAATTCATTTAAAAAAAAAACGTAATCAACTACATATATTAAATGAAATTATTATAAATCATATATTTCACTTAAGGTGTTTTCGTGCTGCTCTTCCTTCCTTATCTTGTGCATATCTTTTAATATCGTTTTTTTAAGAAAAAAAATTTTATAAAAAAATTGCCTTAATCCATATATACATACCTATATGTTATATACACATATGAAATCAAAAGACTTTTAATTACCTTTCGAACCCTATGAAAATTGGTTCAAAACTTTTCAAAATATAAGCTTTTGAAAATATTGAATTTGCACCAAAATGGAATGTATTCAATTAAAATCAGAGAAAAGCGGCGGGCCATGCTCACTTTTTCTTATTTTAGCTCAACGGGCTCTATTCTTAACTTGCTCCCACAAATACATAGATGGAGTCGTGAATCCGCCTAATATGCTTTCCATGCATCTCTGTAAAAAAAATTATGCTATTGGTACTACTGCAATTTAAATGTCACTTATGAAAAGGTCAGGCAAAATCTAAACTCAACAGATCGCTAATTTTTTACAAATTCTGCTAATTTCTGCGTAATGGAATACATACAAAATGAATTCAACAGATTTGCACCTGTCAGTTTGAAATTGATGCGAAGTTTTGCGAAGTATGCATAATTAGACCATAAGGCAACATCTGTAAACCAACATTGTATGCGTATTCAAAACACAAATGCATGTACATATATTATACATATGTATGTATTACACTGCAATTGGAAAATTTCCAATTTTCACACACACAGACAACAAACTTTCATAATGCTTCAATAAATTTTTTCATCAGAAATTTCTACGAAGTGAAATGTGGTTGAAATCAAATGCTGGTTATTTATCAGTTGCGTTGCACTACAATTTTTTTACTAAGTAAGTATGTACCTAGGCGATATTGCTGTTTTGTTGCATCAATAAACTGCCCCGTACAGTTGGCAAGCCCGTTGGCTATTAGCATATTTATATGGAGGCGTACCCGCAGAGTATTGCTGACAGTATATTTGGTAAATACCGGCAGCTGGCTGCTTGCAACATGCAACACTTTCAATTGAATTTCGTTGCCCACCAGCGCAAGCGCACACACAAACGCACAGCCACATCCGCACAGGTACCTAATAAATGTGTAATAGCTTTTAATGACGTTGTTGTGCTGAGATACAAACAACAAACATGAAATTGTATGCTGGTGCGCGCATCTGCGAATTGGTGAATGTGGAAATTTCCGTTAGCTGATTGAATGCAAGCGCGGAGTATAAAGCGGTAGAATGGCATACTTTTGTGGCAGCATAATGCCGCTAGTTGTCTAGGTGCGCTTAATACATACATACATACATACATTCGAATGTCAGTGATAGTGTTCGAAGCAATTTTGTTTTTATTTTTATTTTTTGCGAAAAATGTTGGTTATACATATTGAAAATATTCTACTACTTCTACTGACAGCATGACGCGATTTCTGTTTTTGTTTTAAAAAATTTTTGAATGCCACGGAAATAAATCTTCCTCATAAACTCTAAAATGAATCTCTTACACGCACACGCATACCTTTACAAAAGTTCTGTGAACCTCTGACTTTATCACACCCTCTCTTCTTCTCTCTCTCTCTCTCTCTCTGCCCTTACTATAAACGCTCAGTTTACACTTCACAAATCGATCCTTTTACAAATTTAATCACAAGTCTTTCGATTAAGAAGCTCCTAACTAAAACGTTCTTCGTAATCAAAATATTGTTCTCCTCTCCATAAACGGCATTTCTCTTTAAAAGAGAAAGCATTACAATTATGGTAGCACAGCTTACTTGATATCAGAGACGTCTACCCCTAAAATGTGTTAAAATATTAATTTTATTTATATAGTGGTTCTATATTCGACTAGACTTTGGAACTTTTCAAATATATCATTTCAAAAAAGTTATCTAAATTAGAAACCATAAGCTAAAGAGAACAAGATAAATTTGAGATTAGATTCACTCTAATATTGAGAATGAACTAAGCTAAAGAGAACATATTGTGGAGAAAAAATTCGTATATACACAGCAAAGGGAGATCCTGCGTAATTTTAATGAAAATACATTGCGCAGCACAAATACTTACGACGAAAGAATGAATGTAAAACAGATGGAATGAAAATGGAAATAAGGAAAAGTTGAATTTGTGTAAAATCTGAAGTTGTCGCGTAAATTTTAGAGATTTTGTACGTTTAAGTGATTATTGATTGTAAGTTTATAATTTTATTTTATAAAGAGAAAATGAAAAAGAATGGAAAATACAAAAAACTAAAAAAAATACTAAAAATAAAAGTTTAAAGTTTTTGTTTTTTTCCAAATGTATGAAGCTTATAAAAAAATGGTAAGAAGACAAGGAATTTGCTTAAAAGATTCTAAGGAAGCCTTTGATTCCTAAATGAGATTATTAAACTTTATTTCAGTCTGTAAATAATTTGTAAATTTGTAAAAAACATGAATTAAAAAATAGGCCCATAAGCTTCCTCAAAATTTACCTACACCAACATATTCAATTATCTTTAAAAACATTTCTCATTCACATTTTTGGTTGCACACTACCTCCTTTAGACAGGAAATTACACTACTTTCGTTCAGTAAAAAAAAAAAATCCAGTATGATACAGATTATTCAATTATAAGAAATATTCCCCTTCCAAGTTTAATACATGTACATACAAACGTGCCTACTCTCGACTACTCTTCCCACTGATTAGATTTTGATAATTCCCATTTCTAATTCCACTTCATTTGTAATTATTTCATAGAATCTAACAATTTGTTAGTACATACATACATATTCCTGAAGATCTATTAATTCAGGGACCGAACATAACAGTTATTGATGAAAATTTTCATTGAAAAGTTCACTACGAAGGAAACGTTCTACAACTAAGTGATATATACCGATCGATTTCTTCTTTCACCAAGAATAAAATTTGAAAATAAATTTTTATTAATCACTTTTATGCAAAATTAAAACAAAAAAAAAATTAAAAATAATTTTTGACTTTTATTTTACAAATCTAAAATAGCAATTGTTTTTGATTTGTATCTAAATAATCTGTAAATAACAGTTATTTTTGATTTTTATATTATATGTCCTAGATAACAGTTATTGAAAACTTTTATTTATAAAAGTCATTAATAAAAATCTGGATGACGAAAATTCGTTCCAAAATATATCATCTTCCGTAACTGTAATCTTAGATATATAATTTAAAAATTAAAAATAACTGTTATTTGCAAATAATTCAGATAAAAATCTAAAATAATTGTCATCTTTGATTTATAAAACAAAAGTCAGAAACCCTCATTATTTAAGGAGAAAATTCAAAAACTAATTGTTAAAGAGTGATTTTGTTTAAATCCCGGTCCCCGATTAATTTATTAGTACATGCACATGTACATAGTTAAACATACACTTGTGTGGCCCCCTCTTAACGCTTGACTTTTAAGTCCACTCTCAGGTGCAGGGTTTTATATCACCTCGTTACTTTTAAGGAAATAAAGTAACTAATCCATTTTAATCAATGTAAATTGTGTGCCTGCCTTTCTGTGTGTGTAAGATTTTTAACTATTTATTTCAATATTGACTAACAATCTAACTTTAAATTAGAAACTTGCAAGGAAAGTTGTGTATGTAACTAACATTTAATAAAAAAAAAAAAAAACAATTTTTTAACTCATTTCGCTACCGACATGTCCCGAGAGAAGCTGCGTTAAATGAAAACTTCAAATCTCCATGAGAACTTTGCAGCCATTTCTTAAGTCCATCTGTCTGGTCGATTTGTGTTTAGATTAGATTTGTAATCTCGTTTCGTCGTAGACCAACATTTCCCAGCTCATAAAATGGTCTCGAATGACGATATTTTGCATACTCATAGCATCGATACATTACCATTAGAAAAGAAGCGAAATGGAGTGAAGAAAACCAGGTAAGCAAAACTGCTTTCAAATACACTCCGAAAGTGGTTGCGCTGTCACCGCTCCTAAAATAATTATATATTTTCAACCATAAAGAAGGATTTCCTTTGAAAATTCCTTTGAACTTGTTTTTTCATAAACATTTTCTCTAAAATCAGCTGCATAAAATTTCTGGCCAGAAAATTTAGTTGTATCTTAAATGTTTGTCCAAAGGACACCAAGTATTTTTTACAGCTAATGAAAAGCTTATGGGATACTAAAAATTTAATTTGAATTTTGCAACAATACAAAATGGAAACCATCCGTTTATGATGGGATACAAGTAACAATTTCGGGGCTAAAGAACAACACAGCTGCTGGAGTTGACGGCTTCCAATGATGCTGGAGTTGGTTGATGCAAACGTAGTTTTATCCGTCATGTCAAGTGATTGTTTAAATATATTAAATTTAGAAAAAGAACACACAATAAATTGGGTTAGTGCCTACACAAAAAAAGTTGCAATTAATCACCCTTCCACTCTAGTTTGAAGGTATACCTTTAGAGGAGTTTGAGCTTATAAAAATTGTCGTAACTCTAAAAATTGCCAAAAACGGAATTTCTTTCCACCTTTTCTTGTGTAAACATCTCAGCGCTGGGTATGACTAAAACTTGGGTAAACCCTGTGGAAAATTCATAACTGCATGTTGTGTAACATAGCAAAAAATTTGTAACTTCTTCTGGTGTGTACAAATCGACA